CTAATTTTAGTAAGTTGTCAATAATATTGGAGGGTTCTTCTTTGTCACTAACGCATAATGCCTTTGTTCCCACCTCATGCCTGATTGACCGGAATCATCAGTCATTGTTCGTTGTACAAGTTAACGGTTATTTTGTACTGTGTATTCTGCATAAATAGTTTATGCACCCAGACTACGTCCGTGCTAAGCTCCTCTCACTCCATCTCCCCAGGCAAGAAGCAGATGAAGGAAGAGTCGGAGGACAAGGTGTCGCTCAAGTTCCTGCCCGTGACGCCCGTCTGTCTGGTGGACAAGGACAAGACGAAGAAGGCAGTGCCGCTGTTCTCACTGGCCGGGGACCTGCTCGGAAATAAGGACGACTACAGGTGGGATGGGACGCGGCGGCCGCGGCGGTGGAGTGGATGGGGGGGGGGGTTGCATTGTGATCTTGTGAGTATTGGAGTGGAAGTGGAAGTGGATACTGATGAATGGTAACAAGGTTTGTGAGGGGAGAGGGGTTGCTGCAGAATTATCAAATGCTTCCCTGTTCTTGTCTGATACATGAGCTGTTAGTTGAATGCTGCCTTTTATGGGCGCCTATGACCACCGCAGCCCGGGCGCCGTACACCCCCACATCATCATCAATGCTGCCTCTTGGAGCCGCGCTGACTAGCGGTGGCATAATTGACCACGTGAAACAATGGGCCTGCTGATGAATCTGATGCATTGAATCAACGTATCCCATTGTGTGAGCTGTCGGCTGATACTCGTCAACTGACCGTCTCCGTTCGTCGCCTCGTCTCAGACTGAACAGCACCATGTCGACGGCGACGGGTCTGCTCTGTACTGAGATGGACGTCGAGTCACTGCTGAGACATCACGTCAAGACGTCCTTCTCACCGACCAAATCACCCGGTCAGTCACGGTCCTGCTGTCGTTAACTTGCACGATTAAAAGAAATGGTGTTTCGTGATTTATTGTTGTCATTCCTGTTCTCTCTCTTTTGATGTTCATATCCATAAATCGGCCAAAGAGCTCAGCCGCACCTAATGTTCTGTTTAGTTTATTCACATGACCGTTTCCGCCCTCCTACCTCCCCCCAGACGTGTCGGCAGCTCTGTCGACCACCGCTGCCGCCGCCGCGGACGACCCGGATGACGCGTGCGAGCCGCCGCCGCCGCCGTCGCCGCCGCCGCCGGCCTCTCCGGAGCCGCCACCGCCGCCGTCACCGCCGCCATCGCCGCCGCGCGCCTCACCAGAACGGAGGTATGTTGGGGCTGGGCTGTCAGCGTGGGCATGTTGAAATGTATGGGTGTGGTCTGGCTGTATCGTTGAAATTTATCTTTGAGTTGAGATTTAGAGGTGCTCTTGTAGTGACTTCGGACAAGCTGCTCATAATTTCTGTCAACAAAGCCGATACTTGTAAAACTAGTGAAGCTCTCAAGACACTTAATCAATGCTACTTTGATTTCATGCACAAACTACTGCTTACGTCGGTGCCGCCCATATAACACCCTACCTTCCCTTCCCCTTCTCCCTCAGGACCGGTCTGCGCCAGAGCGCGCGGCGGCGGCGGGAGGCGACGCCGTGCCTGGCGCCGGGCTCCGAGCCCGAGCAGCGCTGGAGGCCGGTCAACCCGTACGGCGAGACCGGCAGGAAGCGGCCGCCGATCCGGCGCGGACGGATCACCCTGCGGCCGCCCTGTCTGTGTCAGAAGGAGACCGTCTCCAAGGTATGAGCCGGGGGAGAGTGCTGCTCTGGAATTTGGAAACCGCCAGGATGCTGGATTTTCTGGTTATTTTATTCGAAGTATGCAAGTTAAAGAGACTGAAAGTGGGTGCTTACAGCTGACAGGGTTAAATGGAGGACTAAATGGGTGGGCATGATTTCCATGGAATATCAGTGTCTCTGGTCTGCAATTTAAGGCAAGTGGTGGGTGTGCTTTTATCCACCGATGTCATTCCTTATTACACCACCAAACGTTCCATCCATCCCGTTCCTCCTGTGCCCTAACCGCCCATCTCCCCGCCACCCGCAGCGGAAGCGGAAGCTGGCCGAGACGGCAGCGGCTGCGGCGGCGTCAGTGACGACGGCGTCTGCCGACTCAGTGTACGGCTCCGGCGAGAAGCCGCCGCCGCCGCCCGTGGTCGACTACCTGAAGACGGAGCTGCTGACCCATTCTGGCCGGCTGACCCGTAGTCAACTGCGGCACGTCATATCCAAAATGCCCGCCGAGGTGCTGGCGGAAATGCAGAACAGGAAACAGGCGCTGGCTGACATCAAACAGCAGAAACGTGAGTGAGGGGTCAGTCGTGACTAAACGGAAAATGATCCTTGTGATACAGGATCCGCATATTTTGTAACTATTAGACATTTTGTGTGCGATTGTATGATATTTGTATTAGATGAGTTGCATTTGATTTGTATTAGCAGTCACAGCTCAAGTATTTCCCAAGTAATGGATGTGTTCAATGTTCATTGTTCCTCCCACGTCATTCTAACCAATGATTCTCACCGTCCCTCTCCCCGCCCCTCAGGCGAAGAGGACGAGCTGGCGGCGGCGGCGGAGGCGGCGGCCGCGGCCGATGACGCCGCGTCAGACGGCGGCGCCGGTGACATGGCCGACTTCCCGGACATGCCGGACCCGGCGGACCACCCTGCCGACCTGCCGAGCGCGGCGGCGCCCCCCTCCGCGCCGCCCGACAGCTACGAGGAGCTGGTGCAGCGCCGAGTGGCCGAGTACCTCAGCGCGGCGCAGGAGTATGTCCAGTCCACAGAGCTGTCGCGGCGCGTGGCCCGCTGGCAGGAGACGGTGCTGCCGCGGCTCGAGCGCGAGGAGAAGCGCAGTGAGTTCAATATCCACGACTACGGCTCGAGAATTCTGGAGAGGTTTCCCGAGGGATCGGCCAAGACGACCGTGGCGTTTGCCGATATTGTGAAGGGCGAGGAGGCGCCCGAGGTGGCTCGCTATCTTCTGTCGTCACTGATGCTGGTAAGACGGGGGGCCGGGGTGGGATCGGGTCGCTCTTCTACTTGTGATGCGTGAGTGAGACCATATTGTGTTTATTGATATTCTGCCTTTTTTGCTGCGATTTCTATTAGGTGGTACAACTCTGTGACATGACACTGTCTTTCACCTGCCCACCCAGGCCAACACGTACAACGTGGAGATATTTGAGCCTGGCCCGCCGGACCAGGCCATGGACACGATGGAGCTGACGCTACTCTCCAGAAAACGCCACCACGAGGCGCTGGACGGCTACAGCGCCCCCAGTCAGGGCTCGCCCAGGTTGGAACCAGGTCCCGGGGGTCGCAATGACGGGGAGGGAGAGCCCACCGTGGCAGCCGTTGCGTTTCATTATAGGGCAGGAATGGGTCTGACAATGGGTTTTATAATGCGCTGATCCGTGTGAAGAGTTTATTACGATGGAAATATGCTTCATTATCTTTCTATTCATGTCTGAGATAACTGCTTGAACAATGGCTAGTTGCTCGAACTTTTTAAATTCGTTACATCAGTGATTTGATGAAAACTACTGGCTCTCTGACTCACCTAATTTATGTAAATAATGGCGGTTTGTTTTTGACGTTTGTCCCTCACCATTCGCTCCGTTCTGCGCAGGCGGAAGAGTCAGGAGTCGCGCAGCAGCAGCGGCAGCGGCGGCGGCGGCTCGTCGACAGCCGGGCGGACCCGCTCTTCACCTCCCAGGAAGGCCTCCGCCGCCGCCGGGCGGAAGAAACGGCCGGCGGCCGCCGCCCGCCAGAGGTCACGCCAGGACCTCTGAACAGACGGGGGGGGGGGGGTCACACGGGGAGTGTTGTGTGCTGATGGTGCGGTTATCAGAGAGTAACTCAGTCTGCGTCGATGTCTGGGCTCGAGTGGGGTTTTCTGGGGACGAAAAATTGGCACTGCAGTGGCCGGGCGTGACATGTTAGGCTGGCTTATGTTCCGGGTGTTCTAAATCGATTCGTCACAATTTTGTGGTCGGGACCACTCTGAATTGGTTTTTAGATATGAGATGGTGTGAACTGGCTTTAGAAGATGAAGTTGCGATAGAATATTATGTATTGAGGAAGCCAAGCAGGCTTGGTGCCTGAGCCCTGAGGTGGCACATACAATGAATGCACTAAGGTAGAGTGCATGAACTGGGAGGCTAGGTGAACCATAGTGCGAGAATATGTTCATATTTCACCGTGGCGGCTCCCTCCGTGGCCGGCTTTAGAGAATCTTCATCCGCTTTGTTATCATCATGTATAGTAACAGCGAGGGGTAGCGCCTTCGTTACCGCATCAGCCTGGGTAGTTGTTTCTGCGCTACGTGCGATACTGCGTATTACATCTGAGTCCACTGCCCGAGTACAAAGATGAAGCATTTGAGAGCGGCATGCCTCGCTGAGAATGTACATATTACAATACAGAGAACCATTTTCACAACATACTGCCTGTTTTGTTGGTACTGTTCCTCCATGATTAATGGTAGGTCATATCAAATTTGTGTGCACGATTGCTTGTAAATGGGAGAGCTCCACTTCCTGATGTTACTTGCGCTTGTGCCTGACTTTCCCTGCTTGTTACCTTTGATTACACGTCCAATATTTATTCCAATCTTCTGCCCAGGCGTTCTCGGTTTTGAACTGCTTGCCCCCACCGCTTTTGTTTGCTGATTCGGTGGGGTTACTGCACACAACCTGATCGCACACATTCAAAATTTGTACTGAATCCAATTGGCTTCTACGGTTCATATTCGCGATAGCTACGATTCATATTCGCGATAGAAACTAGAGGGCTACCTATCATGTTTTGGTGTGTTATTTGAAATCTGGCTTATAATCTTGATATGTCCGATCTCTCCTCGCTCGTCATCTAATCCTGAAGTGACTGTTATCCTTTTCGTTTCAGCATTCCTCCTTTCCTGATCAGCGCCAGCACCAGTCGCCTGCCGTGGCTTCAAACACAAGTTCCTATCCTCGCCGACAGGTGGCTCTGGCGGCGCCGGCGGCTCGCCTCAGGTATGTGCCCGCGGGCGGGTGGCGGCGGCCGGTGCGGCGCGGCGCGGGCCGCGCGCTCCCCGCCAGTTGTGACGCGGGGGACGGGGGAGAGCCGGCGCGGTGCACGTGATCTGGGATCGGGACTCCCGACGGTGGGAAAAGGGCGTGTGAGAGGAGCCACGTGATATCGGCCACGCGTGGAGATCAGCCGAGACTGGTGCATGGCCGTGACTGATCCCTCATGAGCGGAGGAGGGCGCCGCGGGGAGGCCACCTCTTGCGGACGATATGGAGCCGGAGCTGCAGTGTCCGGTGTGTCTGCGGCAGCTGGTGCGGCCCGTGCTGCTGGCCTGCTCGCACCCCGTGTGTCTGGGCTGCGCGCGCTCCCTGGCGCGGCCCTCGGACGATGAGCTGGACAAGGAGTCGGTGTACAGCGAGGCGGACAGCGGCGTGGTGTGCGGCAGCCGCGGCAGCAGCGCCGGCGGCCCGGAGCCCGGCTGGGTGAGCTGTGTCACCTGCGGCCGGCCCTCTCCGCTGGACGCGCTCCGGCCGTGCCTCCTGCTGGAGCGCCTGCTGCCGCTGTTCGGCCGCGCCTCGGCGCCCGTCAGCTGCCAGCTGTGCGAGGGCGAGCCGCGGCCGGCGGCCGTGCTCTGCCAGCAGTGCCGCGTCCACTACTGCTCCGAGTGTCAGCGCCGGTGTCACCCGCGCCGCGGGCCGCTGGCCGAGCACAGCCTGCTGCCGGCGCCGGCGCCCGGGCCGCCGCCGCCGCCGCCGGCCGCCGACCCGCTGCGCTGCTGGCGACACCCCGCCGCCGAGTACGAGCTCTTCTGCGCCGCCTGCGACGAGCTGGCCTGCGCCGAGTGCCGGGCTGACGGCGGGCACAAGGGCCACGAGCTGCACCCGCTGGCAGACGCCGTCAAAGCTCAGAAGGTCGGTCCAGGCGCCTTCACCCTCCGCCGCGGTCCCCAGCCCCGCCCCATGGCGTCCCTCCCCACCGGGACGGGTTTACGACCCTGCCCCACTCACTCCACCCAACCTACCCCTTGTCCCGCCCCGTTGTTCTACCACCATTCTCCCCCCCCCCCCCCCCACAGGCCCCTGTAGATCTGCCCTGTCCCAAAATAACAAACGACATCCTTCTCTGGAGAGGCGTGTCCCATCTGATCCTGCCCGGGTCCGGCCCGACCATTGTAATGGCTGTTCCCTGGAGATAATCCCGTCCCCTGTGCTGCCCAGGACCATAGGCGCATTAGGTAAACTGCTTTATTTTCGGGACCCTGCTCAGAGCACCCAATTGTGAACACAATGACCGTCCCTTCTGAACTGATGGCCGTCCGTCGCTGTGGTATTTCGCGCATCTGGCGCCTTTGGCACGCCGGTTCCTCTCTTCCCGAGTTCCCAAAGCCATCGGTCCACTCCTCAACGTATACGCTAGCACTAGCAGTGTCGCATGTTTTCGTGCTTTCACGTCCGCTCCTGTCATTTCACGCGCTGCGTTCATTACGAAGTCCGAATTGATGTGAAACTAAACGAGCTGTTTGAATGTTTTTACGTCGCACACTGTGTGAATGTTCTCACTGACCAGCTCCAACACACGGTGCCTTACCGATTATGGCAGCTGGTAATGTAAATGAGTGCGCCGGCCGTAACTCAGGCGCCGGGTTTCGCTGCTCGCCATTACCGGCCCATTCCGCGCACTGATTTTCCCGAGCCGCCGCTGTGCCGGAAGCAAGTTCGCAGCGGGGCTCTCGTGTGGTTTTTCGCCGTATCTTCGCCCCTGCGCCAGCCGGGCGCCGGCTTTGGTTACACACCACACAGTCTCGTAAGCCGGTGTGGGCCGGCCCAGAGCGCGCACCTGTCATGAGGCTCACGATACGGTGGGAGGTGTCACGCCTTACAGTCGGCGACCGCGCTGTGCGGGAAATTTCCGATATCTGAGCCGCGCCGGGCCTCCATTGGTGACATGGCGCCAAGTGCTGTCGGATAGGTGCTCCGAATTGTCGTGTTACAACCGGGCTGAATAGTGGATAAGGTGTGTACTTCCTATTGTGTGAGCCATTTTGTTGATGGTCCTTTTTCTGATGTAGTTCCGTTACTGTTTTGACCTTCAAAGGACGTAAGAATGGTCATTGAGAAGAAAAATGTTCCGTTAAGTGTTGATATAATGGCTGGTTTACGTAAATCAATATCTGTTTCGAGGTTTCCTTGAGATGTCTTGCGTGGCTTTTTCCGTCATCGGATTGGTTTATCTTCGGTAATCCAGCCACCCATCCATTGTTTTCCGGTGTAACGTCATCGTCTTGAGTGTCCGGGCGTTAGAACAAAGACCCCACCTGCAAACCTTCTGCACGATCTGGTGCGGATTATTCGCTGGGCTACCGTTTGATTATCCGCCCGATGACATGAACAAATATGCTCTGTAAGTGCAGGTGGGCCTGTATGTATTGCCACACGAAGATCCGGTATGTTTTCCTTCTGACACTGTTGGATAATTATCAGCGAGGAAACAGTATCGGTTGAAGGGCCGCTGATTATACGGGGCAAAGTCTCGCCGGAAGAAGGTCGTCTTACGCCATTGTTACACTGGCAATGGTATGGAAATTTCAGTGCTAAATCTGGTGTTGCCTGTAAATGGTGTCGTATCATTATCTGATTGAGAGAGGAAGATGTTGGTCGGATCAAGTGCTCTATCATTAGCTCGCCATCCGGACCCAATTGGAATAACAATCGGATATGTTTCCTCATGCGTTGGCGACTGGTCCTTCCATCGCAGCCTGTTTCCAGAAGACATCGCCTCGTTACAGATTTCTCTCGCCCATGTCACGTCCAGTTTAGCACAAACCCCTGGGTGTGAGGCGGAGCCGCCGACCACTTGTGGTCGGTGGCGGGTCGGCCACCGGGCGGTCGACGGCCGCGGGTCGGGTGCCGACCGCAGCCGCCCCCGCTCACACACCGCCAACCGCAGACCTCGACTCCCGCTCGCGGAGTGGGAGGCCGGTCTCACACGGCAGGGCCGTATATCCGGCTCCGTGGAATAGGAACGGCCGGTGGGGGGTTGGCCATGGTGGCAGCGCCGGCTTCGATAGGTGCTAGGTGCATGGGTGGTTCTGGTTGGATGTGCAGGAAGCTTGGTGGGAGCCGGTAGGCACTTGATGCTTGGTTGATGGATTGGATAAGGTTTATGTGCGGTAGTTTTGGTTATCATCGATCGTGTTCACTTTTTGGAAGTCATAAACCAACTTTTGGATCCAAGTTGATCGTAAATCATTGTCCGTTTTTGTCGGCTAGGACAAAGCTTCAGATTGGCCTGCAGTGCGGCGTGCTTGCACACGGATTTTCTGAGCGAATGGGCGTCAGAATGAAAAGGCACGGCAAGTAACAACAAACAATGGAATAGCTACTGCGTAAAACGTCCATTCGATGGGTGAAAGTGAACAAATGGCATGTGAACATGGGAGCGGCGAACTTTTAGCGATGAAACTACAATCGCATCGGGAAGTTGATGTCCTGATGCATAAGTGCGGAACATGCCAATTTAAAATACCGCAAATCCTATAGCTCGGACCAGGCTTTGTATGGGCTGTATGAATGCACAGTAGTTCAAATGGACGGTACCCAAATGATATGCACGTTGCACATCGCATGCTGTGCAGGTTTTGTGGCACTCCCTTCAGCGTCCCAATGAAATTCTGTCTCCCCGAGCTCCGACTGAATATAAGCTGTTTGTTGGTTATAGCGAATGCAGCCGATGCCCGGTGACGACACTGAGCCTCGGCGGCTGTTGGTGTCACAGGGCGGAGTGCGCCAGAGCCGCTCCTGTCGTACACCTGCCGTGCATTATAACACGCCAGGTCCTCCCTCTCCACCGCTCCCAGCGCTGACCTCAGTGACACGGCGACGGGTCTCGGCCGTGTGGAGCACCCGATATCCGTGAGGGCGTCTCCCGGTCTCTGAGAGCCCGCCCCGCCGCCTCCTGGGAGCCTCCTACTCCGGCGCCGTGCACCATGCTCTGCATGGCAATGTGACCTCCCGGCACCGGGACTAAATCAAATAGGGTGGAGCGCCGCCCTGCAGCTCTGAAACGACGCTGCTCACACTGGCGGGCAGATTTGTGGTCTGTGCAGTGGCAGTGTGCACGGTGCATACATGCATCCTGTTTGTTTGTCACGTAGGCATGTGTCCTCGTTTCAAGGGACAAAGATGTCCATTACCCCGGCTGGCCTGAATAGGCAACTACTATCTTCTCCACTCTCCATCCCACAACAACAGAGACCGAGTCGATTTCCGCGGCGCCGGCCGCTGTCCCGCTGCGGCCGTCTGTCTCGGCTCCTGTCCCCGATAGCTGCTGCTCATGGGAAAACAGTCGCGGCAGCGCCGGCCGTGTGTGCCACATACATAATGCGTGTGGACCGTGCGGTATCAGATGACGCGCCGGGGGCCGGCGTCAGGCGGGCGGGCGCCGCCGGAGCGCTGTATCTCCCGGCGGCGGCCCGCGGCGTCCCACCGCAGCTGGCCCGGGCTGATGGCCGATTACGGGAGGCGGTAGACCGTGGTGTCCGCGCCGGCCGCTCCGGCGGTGCCCGCGGCTGTGTCCCGCGGCGCGGCGCCCCCAGCGGAGCCCCCAGCGGAGCCCCCGCCGTCCAGGTGTGCCGCGCGGCCGGCCGGTGTGAGCCGTGCACCGCGATCCGACTGGCCACCGGCCGGCCTTCAGTGGAGACGCTCCGCGGCGCACCTGCTGAGAGCGAGCCGCGCGGCTACAGACGACCCCCGCTGACGGGACGGGAGGGAGGGAGGGAGGGAGGGAGGGAGAGAGAGAGAGAGAGAGAGAGAGAGAGAGAGAGAGAGAGAGAGAGAGAGAGAGAGAGAGAGAGAGAGAGGGGGGGGAGGCGCCGTCTCATGTCCGTAGAAGGGATGAAGAAGGTGTGTTCGTCATCTCACCACCACTCCATCCTGTGTTCTATGCCGGGGAGAAGGGTGGAGCAAGCATAATGCAACCAGTTGGGACCGGGCAGTTGCCGTACCGACCGGCTCCCGCCTACACGGACCACCCCATCTTTATGTCGTGATATCCACAGTCACTGCCGAGTGCCGAGTACAGCTCGTCTCCGTCTCCCATCCCGTCAGCCGTATCCGTATGCCGTACCGTCACCCGCCAACCGATCACCCGTATCGTCATATAACCCCAGCCGTATATACCTGCACATCGCCGAGTTCGTTCGGGATCCACCTGTTGGTGCGGAGACCACTTCTGATCAGGTGGTGGATAGCGTGGCTACCTGCTCAGCTGTCTGTCTGTCGTCGGGCGGATGTTCCTATCACAGCCGCCAGCTGCGAGCCGCGGTCAGTCGTGCCACTCCCCGGCGTCGTTTGGAGCTCAATGGACCTCGTGTACGCCGCCTGTTTTATCCTCTGGGTGACTGGGATGGTGTCGTAAAATCGGCCCGCCGTGAGGGAGCGCAGCTGCTCCGCCGAACTGTCAGACGTGGTTAGCAGCTAATGTGAAATACGCTCATAGATGTGGGTGCTGCTAGTAGGAGGGAGGTTTTTATTGGAGGACGCGCTGTTACTTTTAGTTTCTTTGTGGTGGCACCGTCTTCTTCTCTCCTTGTCCATCTAGGAGTGGTGATACATAATATTACGCCTTTCTTATGTTGCCATTGAATAATTGTTAACAGCATAGTTTAGTGAGCATTCCTCGTCCACCCTGTATTGTTTACAGCCTCAGATGTTCGACTGAATGGCTGTCACATTTTTTCCTGCAATGTGAAATCGATTTCACAATCGATGATATACTCGTATTCCTTGTTTGGCACAAACTGCTGTGCATATATCAACCTGTCATGTGGCTTGCGTCATAAAAAACAGTAAGCGATTTCACTGAACCCCCGACAAATCTCCCCGATCTAAAGACGCCGTATAGTGCTTCGATGAGTAGCCTTCTCCACTAATCGGTTTTTCTATCGCAGCCACCTGCATGTGACACCCATTCAGCTCGGTCGCTCGCATGCGATTCTCACTCGGCGGTGCTTGTAAAATGATATCAGCCGGCCGTACATGGCCCGATTTCCCGTGTTTTGTGTATCGATGAGGTCGCCACGCAGCTGAGAAGCTTCGCGGATGGTGTCATCACTGCCATGTTCTGTTCAGTGAGGCGTGACGCCGGCCGTAATTCATAGAGCGACTTTCCGTGTACTGAGGCCGGGGTGGGGAGTGATTGCCTCTCAGAGCACCTGACGATCGGGCGTCGGTCGGCGGGGGCTGTGGTGTGTCAGCCAGGGTGTCGGTGACACGGTGTTAGTGTCATGGACAGGATGTCAGTGTCATGAAGTCGATGAGACCCATCTCAGTACTCCGGTGATACTATGTTGTGGGTTATCTGCTGCGATTGAAATCCCAGGCGGCACGTGTCTGATTGGATTTCGTCTGGGCTCAACTCGGGCCCCAGTGAAATCTAACGCGGCACCGATGTAGACGCCGCCGCATTCTGAACGACTCATGTCCAATGTAATTGTACGAAACATGCCCAATCAGCACGGTTCTGGTAACTCCTGTGTTTGATCTGCTTAGCGCTGGCCGCACCTCTGCAAAGAGGCACGCCCGTTTGAGCGGCTGGGCCGGCCGTGCCCGTTCAGAGCCTGTTCAAAGCTCGTTCATGGTCGTGACAGGCCCGGCGGTGACATGCTCGTTCGTTGCCTGGTGCGGCGTGTCCCTGGACGGAACACCTGGGTACACGGCGCCGGCCGGCCCGCCAGCCTTCCAGGAACCCTGTCGGTTCACAAGGCCTCGGCTTATCCCGGCCGGTCCGGCCCGGTCCGCTCGTCCCCGGGCGAACAAAAACAAGGGCCGGCCGGCCGCGCGGCGCGGGCCGCCCCTCTGCGCTGAATGCCCTCCTCTCTCCCCGTTCCGGCCACATAGCTGGGCCGCGCTCCCCTTCCCTCCCTCCCTCTCCCTCCCTCTGTCGGCGGGGTGCCGCAGGGGTCCACGCGTTCCCCCTCCCTCCTCCCGGCGCCGGGCGGCTTGTTTCCCACCATCGGGGCACCCAGCGCGGCGCCCGGCGCCCCGACAATTACAACTAATTACAGCTCGGCTGGCTAATTCTGAGCGGTGTTGGCGTGAATCTAATTTGAACAGACGCCGTGTTTGTGGCGGGATCGCGCAGCATACGGCGCTGTGGAGCGCTGCAGCGACCGACGCCGGCCCGCCGGGCTATCGTGCCGCTGATCGTCTAACCAGCCCGACCGCGGAGAATGAATGTTCACGATGGAATGTCGCCGCGCCGCTGCAGCCCCTCCGACGCATAAATACATGCATACATGACATGGCCGTGCTGTATTTAATAGGATTGTGTCCGGGAGTGCATACCTGATGTCGCTGCGAGTTTATTGCGCCAAAATGCATGCGCGCTGTTCAGAGAAGGCTATCTCTGTGGATGTCTGACCATGAGAGAGTGAGATGATTTTCTAGTACCAGCGCTGAACCAGCATCCATGTACCGCCGCGATAGGTGTTCCTGTGCTGTAGCGGCGCCAGGCTTCTGTTGTGTCTGTCATATGAGGAGCAGCCCTCCCCTCTGGGTTCCACCCGCGCCGGATACCGCGAGGGCGGGCGCCTCTCCCCAGCACCCTGTGCCCCGCTCAGCGCCGCCGCTGGTATGTCTGTCATCCCATAAAGGCAGCGTGAAGGACAACACGGCTCCGTGGAATGCCCCACCGTCCCTGGTTGTCTAACCCGTTGACTCTGCCGCTGACGCCCTGTTCTGGCCTCTTACAGACGGCGCTCTCGCGAACACTTCAGTCTCTCTCGGAGCGGGCCAAATCTGCGACAGAGGTCATCCACCGGCTGAGGAAGGCGCCAGAGACAGTCGGCGTGAGTAGGGAGGGGTCAAATGGGTCACTGGAAGGGAGGGGACGCCGCCCGGGTCACAAGCTTGACGCTAGTAGAGCTATCGGCCGGGACACAGGTCACGTCGTTGGGAAATGGATAGTTGGTGAATTACTGTCGTCAACCCTTCTGAACATGACTAACGTATTATAAACGTGAAAGTTGAAGTAGCCCGTTGGTTAAAACTTCCATTCTATTCATAAGTCCAGATGGCCGAGATAGATCATTCATAGCTATGTGCATGAGTTGTTTGCTGGAACCTGCACATTCTTCCATTTACGTGTGACCGACCGAACCGTCTATTCTCCACAGGAGTCATGCGCCGCTCTGGAGCAGGCCATTAGTGACCAGTGCGACGCGCTGGTGGCCGCAGTGATGGCCCGAAAACAGCGACTGCTGGCGCACGTCCGGCAGGAGAGCCAGCGCAAAACGGCTGCGGCCAGGGAACAGGTCACCTCGTGGACCGGGCAGATCCAGCGCACCACAGGAATACTGCGCTTCTGCATCGAGACGCTCAAAGAGCCCAACAGCGTGGCCTTTCTGCAGGTGGGTGCAGCGCTGGGGACACACAGAGGACACAGATGGAGAGATAATGATGTGGTTTCCGTGGTCTGAAGCTCGGATGATGTGGTTTGGGAGTTGGTTGCGCGGAACGGAGAATCTCTTAGCTTTATGTCGTGTGGTGGGAAGGAGGATTATGATGGCTCAGATAAGAGGGTTTACCGGGAAGTTGAGGAGACCGCGCCAGATGTGCATTGCGTCATGCTGAGTATTTTCTTTGTTGCTTGCGTTTTTCTTGGAGGATTGAGATGATAACATTTTTGATGGGTAATATTAGCGAGATTCTGGCGAAATAACGCACCGATGCTTCGCTAGACTTCGTGTTGCTAGGTGTAAGGTCAGCTGACTGATATAACCAAGCATCATTGCTATCACTGGTTATCTCTATGGCTTCTGTTTCCCTTCCCATCTATTCATCTCCTCGGTCCACTCTCCACATTGTCTCCCAGCAGCTCTGCCCAGCCCGTTCGTTACCCGTCCCGCAATATCCGGCCGGGCCCGACCTCCGGCCCGCTCCGGTCACCGTCCATTGAGTTACCGCCCCGATCGGGGGCTCCAGCCGACCCAGTATATCCGGTGCTATGAACCGGGTCCCGCCGGGGTGTCATAGACGGCAGTCCATCGTCTGATAGTGCCCGGCGGACCGCCGCCCGGCCCTGGATGACCGGGGCTCGGGGGTCATAGATACGACCGGGACGGTTATTGACTCCGCAGAGTGGGGTCATAATGTTCCAGTTTTAATTGTGTTGAGTCTGATGATAGCATGGAACTTGGTTTTGATGTCTGTGATTTCGATGATTTCGAGGAACCTCGTAATTGTCAGTTGAAAGGTCACAACACTTAAAATTAGGGTAGGGGAGCATTTTGATTTGGATATGCTGAGTGTAGTTCCATACTTCGATATCTGTGTCAACATTTAGGATCGTTTTAGCTCCCCACGCTATCAGTTTGTCTCGACTCCAGTCGGCGTCCTCACCGCTCGTCCTTTCATTTTATTACTCTTATTCTGGTTCTAAATCGTAGCCATTACCAGTCTCTTGATTCTGCCTCTCGTCTCGACTGCCTATTTTAGCTCCGCCACTGCCCACCAACCCTCCCCGTCATCCTCTGGCCGTTTACTCCCCGTCACCACTGGCCTGGCGGCGCCGCTGCGGACGGTCACGCCGCTGTTGGCCGTGTCGTCCCTGATCAGCTCCCCAGTCACGACGCTCCGGCGGCGGCCGGACCGGACCGGACCGACCTGTTCCGTCCACCAGACGCCATGACTGGACGCCCGGCGCTGACCCGAGGCCGGGGATGGGAGCGGACGGATATCAGATCCCAGCCCCGGGCAGCGCGGCGTGGAAACCAACCTGTGGATGTCATCGATCCACCGCTACCGGGCTGCCGTGGAAATCAGTGGAATGACTGGGCGCTCAGCGCGGCGCGCAGATTGGAATTGACTGCAGTGACATGAACGTCCCGGTTTGGCGATATGGGGCCGCCGCCCGGGGACATGGTATCGACGCGGGGTTACGAGATGAGGCCCGCTGAGAGCCGCATGGAAATCGCCCGCCCGCGCCGCTGTTTGCGCCTGGAAACTGCATGGAAATCGCTGATACGGCATGGAAATCGGCGTGCAGGCATCAGTGGAACGAGCTGGGCGTCATAGGAATGACCCAGAATGTCATCGCACGCGTGGCGTTAGTCAGTATGATAGTCAATGCATGTGAGCACGCACGCGTTTATAGGATCTCAGTCTATTATAAAGCAGCCCTCAGCTCAGCTGCCTGAACGTGACAGAAAGCCCGTGGGTAGGGATATAGTGGTAAGGAGGCCTGAAATTGACGAAGCTCATCGCGTTGCCCTGGCAATCCGTGCACGGTTCCAGGCAAGGCCGTATATAGGGTTCCACGAATAGCTGGAGCTTCGCCTGCGAGGGAAGCCGACTGGATGCAAATTGAGCCGACCTGGGAGCAGATTAAAGCTTGAAGTGGGCTTTGCCTAGCAGAAGCCGGTAATTGTGTCACAGAAATGCAGGGCTTGCCTTGGATACAGCTGCCAGATTTATGGAAAAGCTAGCGAAGCAGGTTTGATCACTGCTGTAACTTCGAGCATGCTGTGCTTATCGCTTATTTTAACGTCTCATGTCTGAACTATTTGCTTACAGCGCTTTTTTTGAAGTTATTCATCGACAACATTCTCGGTCTCTGACCACCCGATGATAATGTGCGCACCGCCGCCCCGGCGAAATAACTCCGCCTCTGAACTCTGTGTATACCCATTTTGTTCGCTCGCAAAAGTCAATCTCCTCGAGCAACTTGGCTGGTGGTAATCGCAAACTTTGGCAGCGAATTCAATTGAGTCTGGCCTGCAATTGGCGGCGTCTGGAAATACAGCGGTGTTTTCTAGACTGCGGCCCGGCTCATCCGGGATTGACTGCGGCAGTGCTCACCGTTCTGACCGCACCTGTGCACTGTATACAGGCTACTGTAGGGCAGCTGTCCTGAGTGAGGCAGACGCTTTCGGTTTGTTTACACCGTGTGCTAAGCCATGTGTGTCGCTGTTACCTGTTCTTTTTTTTACTTTTTTGACAGGGCTAGTGCTAATGGTGGCACTGTTACAGACGTTCGTTTTTTGGGTATCGATCGTAGAAGTTTGTTATGCCCATCCCCATTTCCTTGACGTTACCTGTTTCCCCTTTATCAAATCGCTGTAGTTTTGACACTGCCTCCGCCGCTATTTTCTCTATAATGTTGACCATCTCCCCCTCCCCCCAGATGGGCGGCAAGCTGCAGTCTCGCGCCGACTCTGTGCTCCTCAGCATTGATGAGGAGCTGAAGGCGCTCACTCAGTCTCAGTCTCAGTCGCAGTCCCAGGTGGAGCTCACGCTGGACACGACCTCTGTCGAGCACGCCATCAAACACATGTCCTTCATGCAGATGAAACGTGAGTAACCCTGGCTGAGGGGGTCGGGAGATAATGTGATGATTTGTGCTAAGTTTATGTGATGAGCAGAAATGTTACAAATATGAGACACAATCGGCAATGGCATGCATTATATAATGCACATGAATGAGGCTTACATATGTTAGTGGTTATTTTCATGAAGCGTATAATTCGCTATGTGCTTGTTTGTGTGCTGTTTTTGTGAATGGTTGAAATGGCACGCCTTCATGGTTGGAAAGCTGTGACTATCTATAGTAAAACCGGATGTTCGTACCCTGCACTTATGCACGTTGAACGGGTTTCCCGACATTAAGTACCGAATATGTCAGACGCCCCACTGTTTTTTTTTTTTACACATAAACCGTTCCATTTTATGCGCCGGGACGAAAAATCACGTCGGACAAACGGGCGCAGTTTCGGATGTGTATCAGTTAGACCTAAATCACCGCTGACTTCGTGCCTGGCTGGACAGTTTCATGATTCGCACTGATTACGCGGTGTGTCCGTCCAGCTCCGCCGCCCGCACGTCATGCCCGCCATCGTGCCTTCCTGCACGGGGGTCATTGTTACCGTGCACGTGAACGCTTTTTTCGTCTGTCGAGTCCAGGTGCCAATGTGCAGTTGCTCATGAACTTGCATGACAAGTGGTTAAAATGCAGCACCATGCCGTGTTGTTTCGTTTATCACGTGTGGCGGTGCTGCCTTTACACCGTCACGAGCTTTACATACATGATTTTGTCTGTCTATTGTGGTTGCATGCACGTGCCAATTTGAACTTTTCTGCTGCCTCGCTGACTGTATAAATCATCAGTTACTAACAGGACATGCAAAAACGGTAGCTTTCTAAGCGGCATATCAATGTGGCCGACGGAGCCGGGATTCCGGGCCAAGGCGAGCACGTAATGGCAGTCGCGCCGCCGCCGACCTCGCCGTGCTGTGTGCGCTGCGGTTTTCCGTGGCTACTGTCACCGTCCAAATATCCCCGACCCGTGTGTGCTGGTAATGGTATTCCTGTGTCGTGTTTTGCGAGGTGTCGTAATGTATATCAAGTGTGTTGTTTGTTTCGTGCGATGTAAGGTGTTGTAGAGCGGGAAATCCTGTAAGCGTACCGTGTCATAAGTGTTTCGGGTGATGTAGGCACGCGTAATATATACCGGTGTATTTAAGTTTTATACGTTTGTTTTTGCTTTTTCTCACATAACCTATCCGAACCAGGACGGTGTCTCAATCCACCCGTCCACAGGAGAAGGAAGAAGAAGTGACATATCCCTCATGATGTTTGTTAAATGCGTATGACGCCACCATCTGTCGGCAGCTGCTCCCGGCCCCTCATTGATGCATGAGCCGTGTATGACCCCACTTCTCCCTCCATCCATGGGTTACTGTGCTTAACCACCCCTCCCTCGACAGCGCCCGGCCCGCCGGTGATCGTCCACGAGGAGTGCTGCTCCGAGAACAACAGCGTGGTCCTGTCGTGGCGAGCCGACGCCGCCAGTTTTGTGGAGGGTCACGTCCTGGAGCTAGATGACGGCGGCGGCGGACCCTTCACGGTGAGACCCGTCACGGTGTGGCGTTACGCGTCACGGCGCGTGACGCGCCGGCGAGCAGCATAACAGACGCTGGGTAACATAACAGACGCTATTGAATAGGATAGTAGGTATGCATGGACTGTTGTTGGATACAGTAGCGATGACTGGGGTTTATTTGGGCTCATGTACTTTCTCTGTGTGTTTTTCCGCAGTATTTGGTTGTGAGTAGGATTTATTGTACAGCTCGCGATAGCCTTCATGATCCGAAGGTATTGTAGCAGGCAGGCTAATTCTCTCAGAGCCGGATTATTTTCCGAGGGCTATGATGGCGTACCCATGCAATGCATTGTTCCAGGCTTTGTTGTATGATTCGGCCCTCGAAGTTTTCTTTCAGCAACTATCGGTACTGGGTGATAAGGTTTAGTGTGCGTCAAGAGCTGCGATATTTTCCTTGATCGGAAAGACACCACACCACTGCACGTGCAGGTCTGAATGTTTGAAATGCTTCTGTAGGCCGATTTTGTCGGATATTGTGTTGCTGAGTTGTCCTTCACGGAAAACAATAACCTCGTTTCCCCATCGGGAAACTAGATATCGCTTAGACAACTATGGGAATGTGATAACCAAAGTGAACATTTGTCAATGTTGACGTCCTTCAAGAGCAAACTTTTCAAACCATTTGCAAAAATGCAATGTATTGAATCATGACGGACGAACCATCTATCTACGTGCATTATACGAATGATTCAGCGTAGGTATTGGAGTTATTTGCATCTTGCAAAAACTTGGAACAGCATTCCAACAAATCTCGTGTTCGTTCACAACTGATAAGTCCGGTTTAGTCAGCCTGGTGCGTTTGCCAACCGCGGAGGCGTTGGTATCATTTACCTGTCTGCGTGTTTCGCCGCCTAGGCCAAAAACCGTCCACCTGATGCCTGAAAACAGCAGGTGTTGTGCGTGGTTGCCAGGCCGACGCCGTGCAATTGCCAGGCTATTAGCCCAGGACTGTCAGCTCAGCCCACCGGTCCGAGGCCTGCTGTCGCCGAGCTGCCTAGCTGCCCGCACACTGCCCAGATCTGGGATCGATTTCTAACTGACCCAGCCGGCCGCTCCCGGGCGAGTACCCTATGACGTCACTGGGAATACGAGACGGCCGGTAATGATCGGTGACGTCACCGGTGACCGCCCGAGGCGGTGCCGCGGGTCGAGCTGAGTTCCCTCCGTCTCAGGGGGACTCCGGTGTTTGTTCACCGTTCAATAGACCGGGGATGGGCTGCTAAGGGCTGACGAGGGTTAGTTCTCTGGGGACCGAGCTGTTTCGGTTCGAGGGGAGGCTGCCTGATGAGTAGGTATGGTTGGGAGGGAAAGTAAAGGAACGGTGAGTCAGAATAACGAGACCGGGATATAAAACAGCGAGACTGAGGGCTGTTTGTTGTTCCAGTCAATCGCGCTGTTTATCTGAGTAGTAAATGCGATGGCTGTGAAATAAAACGGCTGGTATCTGTCCCGGCAACCAACATGTTGGTAAGAGGAGCTTTTATTAGAATCCGTTATAAGAATCCCAGCATGACAGCGAGAAAACTGCTGTTGCAATTTGTATCCCCTTTCTAGAGCCGCACATGAGAAACGGCTGAAACCTTATTTGACCTTGTAAGTACCTACCAAAAAAGTAAATACTTACTATAATATGGGTCACTACCTGACTACTTCACCAAGTAATCTACCACAAACATCTTCGGCTCGGTGTTTTTGTCGCCGACTTATATCCCCACGCGTCATTGAATACCACTCTGCCATCTGAAGAGCTCCTCTTTGCAGAAGGTAATGGGCAAACTAATCCCGGCGTGCTTCGGAAGCTGTTTTTCAGCCGCTGTTTTGTCGCAGGTAGCCCAGATATTCTGCACTGGAGTCCTTTGTTTCGTCCTCTCGCTGCAACACGAGCCTGCGTTTCGCGGCGGTGGGAGTGCGGGCGCGTGCTGTTTAGTGGCCGCCGTCCAAGGTGTCGACGGGAATAGCGCGGGTCTCAGGGTCCGCGGTGAGCTGCCAACTACGCAGCGACTGCCCGGGAGCCAATGGGACGGCTGTGTGTGGTCGGACGGAGTTTTGGGCAATGTTGGGCCATGAATGGCGCTGCGTTGCTGTAGTTGTGTATGCTTCGAGTTGAATGCATTGGATTGGGTTATGAACGCTCAGGTGTGTTTTGGTAGAATCGTATGCTCATGCGTGATCGGTTACATGACCCTTTGAGTGAGTGACGGATGGCAGCTCATGATCGAACTCTGACCTTCGTGTGAACTCCCACCGTATGGCATCCCATCCCGGTTTGGCTCTCAGTGACTTGCAGTCCGTGTTGGCCTATTCTTGATTGTTCTCTGAAGCTGACCTCTGACACCTAACCTCGTCTGCTACCAGAGCTACCCCATGTGCCCATGTCTGACCTCCCTATCTGTGCCTCTCAGGCCAATGACCCGTTTCTGACCTCCCTCTGTGCCTCTCAGGCCTCTGACCGGTGTCTCACCTCCCCGTCTGCCCCACAGGAGGTGTACTGCGGCTCCCAAACGGTCTGCACCATCGACGGGCTGCACTTCAACTCGGTGTACCGGGCGCGGATCCGCTCCTACAACGCCACCGGGCCGGGCCCCTACAGCCAGCCGGTCAGACTGCAGACGGCTGAAGGTGAGAAACGCTTCCCTCTCCTCTTGAAACAACCCAACTGTCTTGACGGTGGCCTCTGCGCTATTCTATTCCAGACACACATATTGACTGATCCTGTCCGGTCATCACACTCTCGTTGTCCAACTGGAGTCTTGAGCTCCATGTGTCTTAGGCTTTATCTTTCGTGTGTTGTGGCTGGGGCTCATGTTCCTCATAAACATCTGGGCTATCTTCTCAATTCCAACCTTGCAATTCCGCTTCATAATTGCTCTTCCAACCATGCCGCGCATTGTTCTCTTGCCATCTCCCCATTCCATCCTCTCTGAAGTCTGGCATTGCCGCTATCTCCGCCCTGCTATCAGCATCGAGCTCCCCATTTTATCTCTCTGCTCCTGGCACCGTCTCAGCCCCCACAGCTGGTCGCCACGCGCCGCTCGCCGCCCCATCTGAGCCCCACCCGGCTGCTCCCACACAGTGGACCTCTGTCCCCGGCTGGGTCCGCCGTCGGCGCCCCGTACCGCGCCGGAAGTGACGGGCATGGACTGTCTGTCGCGCGCACCGGGGCTGGATGGTTACCTGACTGACTTACTTGGGTGCGGAGTGTGGATGTAGGGGGATGCGTGGAAGGGAGATTTGGGGAGGTGGTCGGGAGTTGGGTTGCCCTGCGTGGTGCTGCCATCTATTAGCAGAGTTGTGAACTGTTGTGTGAAGAAAGCTGTAGAAGGTAAGGGACTAGACACTGCATACGCCCTGATTTAGTACTGACTGTTGTGTATTCCGACGTTTACTTTATATATGGTGGGAGGTGTTTTTTATTAGATAGACGGTGCGATATCACTACCTCAACTGACCTCTCTGTCGCCCTCTCCGACAGTGGCGTGGTTCGCGCTGGCTTCTGACTGACCCGTATATCCCCTCTCCTTACAGTGGCGTGGTTCGCGCTGGGTTCTGACTGACCCGTATATCCCCTTTCCTTACAGTGGCGTGGTTCGCGCTGGCTTCTGACTGACCCGTATATCCCCTCTCCTTACAGTGGCGTGGTTCGCGCTGGGTTCTGACTGACCCGTATATCCGCTCTCCTTACAGTGGCGTGGTTCGCGCTGGGTTCTGACTGACCCGTATATCCCCTCTCCTTACAGTGGCGTGGTTCGCGCTGGGTTCTGACTGACCCGTATATCCCCTCTCCTTACAGTGGCGTGGTTCGCGCTGGGTTCTGACTGACCCGTATATCCGCTCTCCTTACAGTGGCGTGGTTCGCGCTGGGTTCTGACTGACCCTGCGCTCTCCCCTCTCCTTACAGTGGCGTGGTTCGCGCTGGACCCGGTCGTCTCCCACCCGCAGCTGCGTTTCTCCGACTCGGACAGCGCCGTCACCTGTGAGAGCTTCGAGCCGTGCGTGGCGCTGGCCACCACCGGCTTCTCCCGCGGCACCCACTACTGGGAGTTCACTCTGGAGAGATACGACGGTAACGCCGACCCGTCGTTCGGCGTGGCGCGGCTCGATGTCACCAAGTCGCAGATGCTCGGTAAGAGGGAATCGCAGTGGAATTAGAATGGGACTCCGTTCTTTGATGAGTTTAATCGTAGTATTTACGATTGCTGATGTATGTCGGTTGTACTTTGTGGTTTTGGGAGCTGCTTACTTTCTTCATTTACTTTTGTTATTCATGTTTATTTTTCGTATTAGTAGCTTATCGTTTGATGACATTTCAGTCTGTAATAAGGCTCAGGTTTCGCCATTCATGCTGATAGTGTATTCGTGCCTCTGTTCTGAAATTGATTAATTACTTGTCGTGAGCTTCCAGCGCGGCTTCTTTTGATCTGACCGTACGAGCTCCAGGTAATCATGAGCGAAGTCGTTCAAATCGGATCATATTTTAATCCGCTCATGTTACATCCGACAAAGGCGAACTAATTAATTGTCAGTCTTTTAGGGTAGCTCAGACATACCAAAAGCCTGACGATCCTCAATTTAAGCACATCACTGAGCCAGTTAGCTCACACAACCCCACCACTAACCTCCGCCCTCGCTGGTCCCACAGGAGCTGACTCTCTGGGCTGGAGTATGTACATTGACGCCCAGCGCTCGTGGTTCATGCACTCGGGCCGGCACGAGGGCCGTGCTGAGGGAGGGGTGCGCACCGGCTCTGTGGTGGGGGTACTGCTGGATCTGGCCACCAAACAACTGAGCTTCTTTGTCGACGGGCGGCCGCAGGTGAGACGGCAGGCGGGGTGGCTTGGAGAGAGAGAGAGGTAGGGGAGGAGAGAGAGGGGTTTGGTGAGGAATGCTGTTCTGAGGAGGGCATGCTGGGTGGTTTGGTTGAGGTAAAGAGGTTTATGTGAGATGTTGGCTGTGTTGGAGGTGGTAGAGATGCAGATATTGCGAGCTGCCTACGCTGTTTTCGACTTCGAGTCATGACACTAACAGTGTGATCGGAATGCATACTGTTTATAAAACCCCAATAAGAAGTGAGTTTGGACAACGGCATGGGCGATATTTTTTTTCATGCACCACTTTTTACCGTGTTAGCCGTAAATCGTCTACAATCTCCTGTTTGAAGTTCGATCTGTGTTTTACCGAATTAATTTTCCCTTTTACTAATTGACTGCAAGCAGCCTACCCTAAATATCTGGAATGACCCGGCCGATCCTGGATGCAGACTTAATGACAGCTTCGGGTGCCTTCTATTGCCATGAGTATTGATGACACTCCCAGCTTCGACGAAATTTCGCCCATTGGCATTTTTGTTGTTATATGTAAGGTGCCCCTTTCTAAAGCGATACAAACCGGTCGATCCATAAACATGATCAGACAACATTTGTTAGGGACAGTCGAACCGTTGAAAGACATGAAATGGGTTATTATTACTGTAACGCCTCGATACACCTCTAACTATCGTATGATTGTCTCATAATGCCCAAATGCGTCATTGTCACGGGTTGAGATTGTCCTCGCACTCCCTGTGCCTCATGACTGACGGACGGCTCTCCTCCCTCCTCCAGGGCGGCGTGGCCTTCACGGAGCTCTCCGGCACGTTCTACCCGGCCGTCAGCATCAACCGCAACTGTCGGGTGCGTCTGCGCACCTCGCTCGAACCGCCCACCAGCGATCTGTCCGGCTCCGACAGTGACGGCAGCTAGGGTAGACAGCGGGAGAGGACAGTTGGCCTGAGGGGCGGGTAGGTCACCCAGCGAGAGACGGCAGGACAGGATGGGACAGCCGGGGACGGCGGGAAGAGCCGACTCAGCGACTGGCGGAGAGACTCGTTCCTGTGGTGTGGAGCTGTGGTCTCATCAGTTCGGTTAGAATGACTGAGAGGTCCCCGAAAGCCCGTGTTTCTCTCAGTGTGTAGAGAGAGTTCGCTGGATAGGGACTACTGGAAGACAGGCTGTTGAAATGTGAGTTTATGTCTGACGCCAGTGAGACACTGTTCGTCCATGAAGAAATCCACGGATGACAATATCGCCGCTCCTGACGAAGTTGGCTGAACTATCGTGGTCTCATCAGAGGCAATCGAGGGCTCAGGTTTCGTCAATGAAACACGCCCTTGTATATTCATCTCAGTTTCTAGAATCACCGATATGTTTGTTACATTGCGAACGAAGCATGTTGATCATTTTGGTCAGACTTGTGCGGACGTGTTGGAAGTTTCATAGTGTATTTTTATTCGTACCATGTCGAGTTTTGCTTTGCTTTGCTTCCAACACCCGCGATCACCTTATGTGCATTATTTGTGCAGCGCTAGTAACTTGAGCTCTCACATCTAGCGTTGTCAATTTTAGAATACGTCCGTGTGTTTACGCTGTTTTTTTATGTAGTTGTTGCTTACTGCGTCATAGTTCATTTGATATTGTTTTGCACCGCTGGCATTTAATGGTCACCGTTCCTTAATCCGTAGAGATCTCGTCTGTGTGTTAAGCTCGCTTCGTTTTTAACCGTCCGATCATCCGCTCAGTTTTCCTTTTATCTTCCACGCGTACTCTGCCGAGTTGCCCGTTTCTCTATGTGCTTGATTTTATTTCCACCTTTGCCTTTCTTAGGTCGGGGTACTTTTCGGTGGGTATTTTGTTTGTCATCATTTGTCATGTGGTACGCTGCAAATGCTCGACCCGATCCCCTCCAGAATGCCTTTAAACGTAACTATAGCAGGTAAAAGACAGCGCCTTATGACATTCATCTAAGCGAGCTAGCACTGCGCGTTGTGGGAGCAGCCGTTGCTCCCTATTACCCTGAGCAGTAGATGCTACACCGAGATGTGATATCAGATCATTTTCCTCTCACAAAACCATTAAATACATCCTTTTCTGCTATATCTTACCAGAGTACAAGCCCAGCCTTTTTATCTGTGTTCTGTGTGTGTGATTGAACTCTGATGTCTGTAATCTTCGTGCTTTGAAGGACCTCATATTGGTCCTGAAACCATTTTGTATCGATGTTGTAACGACACCATACATTTGCCGGGTCAAATGACTATGGTTGTCCCACAGAGTCTCATAGAAGCTCCTTGCTCTGCTTCCTTACATTGCTCAACTGCCTTACAAGTGTTATACTGCCCTGTGTGTGTGTGTGTGGAACGCCCGATACTGCCTTGTGAGGAGTGCAAGCGTTGCCAGCGTTCTGTGTGTCGTACGCGGTGTCTTAGCCGAGAATTCGTTTGAGTGAATGTTGAACGTGATACCTGATGATCCTCGGTATGCTACGCAGTCAGTGAGTGTTCAGTGTGCAGCGAACGTTATCAATATAAAGTGAGAGCATTTATCATCGTTTTCTCGCGCGGCTATCACGTAGCTTTTTGTGGATCAACACCGAAAGTGTCTGGCTTGGCACGTTCCAAGGTCCATTTTTCATCCGCTATCGGAAAGTCTGACCCATAAAGAAAAAGGTCCAATAGGGCGGCCGTTTTCGGCCGCCACTGGCGTTAATTTGTCCGAGTATTTATCACGACGACGGCGTTCGCAATTTTCTCCGGCAATTGCCCTGCAAAAGTGTTACAAATGATCGTGGCACGGCTGTCGTATTTCCAGCTCTGTCCCTCCCTCCTGCCCCTCTCGCGTTCCGCCGACACCCGTCCCAGTCTCCCCGGGCCGCGACCGGTGCCGCAGTTCGCCATGCAAAATGTAGGCCCGGTCGCTATCTCGTATGCGTCCGCCACTGGCAAGGTAATGCCGCTGCTAATGATGGACGGTGAGCGATGGCGGCACTGGGATATAGTTGGAACACTGCGCCGATTGGAGCAGCGTGGCGGGGATCGGCGAGGCTCAGTGGAGGGCTCCGTGCAACGCTCTGTGATAGTGGGACAATGGGAGCATGGGATATGGGCGATGGTAGGTGTGTGAGACAGCTACACGCCTTGCGTGACGGTATATTGTCTCTGATAAGCTGCCGTTCTGTTGATGCGAGACTTTTCACTTTTCAGGGTAAATGGCTACACGGGTTCCAACGTTGTTCCTTCACTGGCGCTTGCTGTCGAGCAGGGTGAATGACTAACGACTTTATTTTATGTTTTGCATTCTTGTTTTTATGTTGTGTTCAACATTAACCGGCCCATGCATTCATTACCTATTCACTAACGACAGGGAACCTCTGTCACCGCTCGATATAAGTCAACAATTCGATATTTCCTTGACATGCCCCGCGGTGTGGTAACCGACACAGTAATGAGCCGGCGTATAACCTCCAGGGGCAGGAGATAGGGTCACGGACTTACGGCTACTCTACCTTAGTGCTCACCTGGCTACCTCTCAGAGACAGTCGAGAGCGGAGTGCAAACGATGCGTTCAGGCGGAATCACCACTGTCGATTGTTAGCGGTCGGACAAACGGTGGCCTTTGTCAGACGACCATGTCAATCAGATCGCATGGACAATGGGCACGGACCTTTGTCGAGCTGAAATCACTTTCTAGCTCTTAGCAAGGAGCTGCTAGTTTCATGCCTAAATTAGATACCATATTAGAATTATCATTTACACTGGAAAGGTCGGTACCTATATTTACCTCCTTTATTTACTTTTGATTATTAAATCATTTTTAGCAAAGCTATGCTATGAATATGAGAGAATGTCATGATCCTTATCTTTTCTTAGATCAAATGTTCCTGTTTTGTTAATAAGTGAGTGTGCCTATAGTTTTGCTGATTAGTTGAGCCCCGAAAAAAAACTTGATAAAAGTAACGGTACTGAGTTAGGTATGATTAAAGAATGGATATTCGAGAAAATAAATAAGTTAGTTTCCATGCTACAACTTTAACTGGTCGGGTGTAATATATCTATTCTGCAGAACTCTTATGGGCTCACGCTGAAGGTTAATGGCCAATATAAATTAAATTTGTGTGTGGGTACGGCGTATGGGAGATAAATGGGTTTTGTCGATACCATCGCAGTGAGGGTAAGGGTAAGTACTATTAGCGAGGGCGCTCGGGAATTTAATATCACCAAGTTTGACAAGTCACTAGTCGATTAGATGACCTGTCTACGGAAATGGGCAGCAGTGAGCACATAGAGCGGAACGAGCGGCTTTAATTTTTCAAAAGTGTGCGAAAATGACTCAGACCTCCGACGCAGTCGGGGTCATAAAACAGCTCATATGCCTCCCACCGGAACCATAAACAGCCTTTCAAGGGAGCGTCGGCGGGACCGTGAGCAGAGCCCTCCCCTTTCCTCCTCTCCCCTAGCGAAACACCTTCAGTACCACGTCGATACTAATCACGGAGGGGCCGCCGACGGCCGCGCGTGCCGACCAGTGCAGTGCGCCTGCGCGCGCGGCTCGGTGGAGCGGTCGGCGGTCGGCGGCGGCTCGCGGCGTGCGTGCAGTCAGTCTTCTGCTGGTGCCGGCGGAGGGGGGTGACTGTGCCGGGGAGCGGACGGCGCGCCGCGTGCTGCCATGGAGGAGGAGCTGCGCTGCCCCGTCTGCCAGCAGATCTACAGTAATCCGGTGCTGCTGCCATGCGGTCACGCCATGTGTCTGAACTGTGCGCTGCAGCGCCAGTGTCCGCCCTCCGCGGTGACCGTGCGGCCCGATCCGGACGAATCAGACACCTCGGGCTCAGACGTGGACAAACTGTCCGTGGCCAGTGAGACGGACAGTGGTGTGGTGTGCGGCAGCGGCGGCAGCCGGCCCGCCTCCTACCTGGGATCACCCGAACCGGCCGCGCTCGCCCTGCTCTGTCGTAAGTGCGGCAAACACGTCTACTTTGACGAGCACGGCGCGTACAACCTGCCGCGCTACCGCACCCTGCAGAAGGTCGTGGACCGGTACGTCGAGGCTAAGGACGTGGTGCTCAAGTGTCAGCTGTGCGAGTCGAGCCCGCGCGACGCGGCCGTTCTCTGTGAGCAGTGCGAGGTGCTGTACTGCGAGCCGTGCCGGGAGCGGTGTCACCCCAGCCGCGGCCCGCTGGCGCAGCACCGTCTGACGGAGCCGCGGGCGGGCCGCGGCGGAGCTCCGTCGGCCAGCGCGCGTCACCCCGTGCCCTGCAGCTGCCCCGACCACCCCGGACAGCCGCTGGTCAACTACTGCGTCGACTGTAAGCTGGCCGTGTGTAACAGCTGCGTCCAGGACGGCAAGCACCGCGGCCACGAGCTCCAGTCGCTGGCTGTCATCGCCAAGGCACACAAGGTGAGCGCCTCGCCCTCGACCTACCTGGCCCCTCAGACGTCTGTACTGTGCGCAGCTCGAGTGGGGAAGTCTCCTGACTAACCGTACGGATGTCCAACTCCGCCCGCCACACTGCGGTTTTCCAGAGGTCGTTTGTGGTTCTCACTGAGCCATATCTCCGTTCCTGTCAGAGTCGAATTAATTAACTTGTGCATGCCCGTCGTATGTGGCAAGCTTTACGACGACTCCAGTTCTCCTCCTTCAGAGGGTCCTCCTCCCCTCCCCCTCCTCCCCCTCCTCCTCTCTCTCTCTCTCCCTCTCTCTCTCTCTCTCTCTCTCTCTTTCTCTCTCTCTCTCTCTCCCTCTCTCTCCCTCCCCACCGTTATGAGCTGCAGGGATGATGCCCACCCGATGCTGACAGATAAACAGCGTCTGGGCCGGGTATATTGTCCGGACCGCCCGGCCGGAGCGGCTCAGACGGCCTGTGCCGGTTTTATGGTCGCGGCGCGTGCCAGCGCTGCCGAGGGGGTTTCGTTGTCTTGCTGTCGGCATAGGGCGCGGCTGGTTCCGGGTCTGGCTCGAGTTGGCCTTTAACACCCGTCGCCAGTCCCGACAGTCGGTAGTTTGAACGGTCACAGCTGACTTTGTGCCGGGTGGTCAAGCCTGCAAAACCATGGTTCATATAGTCTGAGCTCTTCTTTTCGGGGCCTCGCTGATCGTGTTTCAAATGCCTTACCGTTTAAAGTCGCCGTCCGTTATTTTTTTTTTCATTGAACATCGATATTATTATAAATTTACATCATTTTTCCACTAAAGGTAAACGAACATAATTTATTTAATTTCCTATCTCGGCGCGACGGGTAGATCAGAAGTGAAAATATACCCTTATTTCCGTATTTACAAAGCAATAGGTGCAACGTTCGTCTATAATCGTACGGTCCACCGTTGACCGTAATATCCGTCACCGTCTAATGCCAACAATTCGTCCGTCTCTTAAGAGCAGCGAATCTTCCAGTTACAGCTAATTGACCTTTCTGCACCCCATTTGAATGGAAATCCCGTTTACATTTGTACGGCTGTCAGTTCGGATCTCCTCTGCTGTCTCACGCTTTGCCGACGCTGTTTCACAAACGGGCTTTTCGTGGGGCACATTTATCCCTCGTGTTTTCTCGTTTACAAATAGGTATCACCATAACACCTTGATCTGAGCGTAATCTTTCGTCGACCTTCCGCCGGCGTTGGTGGCTTTATACGCGACTCGATGGGTTTATTATCCCATTGATCTCTGTGTGGCTCCGCGGCTGGCTTGGCACGGCCGACAGCCGAAGCCTGTCCGACAACAGCGTGCGCTGCTAGAGGAGAGATTCAGGAGCCAATCACAGCGCTGTCAGGCCGGCGCGCCGTGCGTGGCAGATGGACCGCCGCCGCGTGGTTACTATGTGATCGGAGCTCCTGGCGCGGCCGTATTTTTAGATACCGGAAGGGCGGCCCACCTCGGAAAATGATAGCCCTCCGGATGAAGCCCCACTGACGAGCGCTGTGACATTTGGAGCGTCCGCCGCGCCGCGACGGTCAGTGACATGGGTGACCGGTTATAGGGGCGCTCTACTCCCACCGGACACGAAATCAATAGCCATCAGTTCTGAACTGAACCCGTCCTCTCGTCTGATATATTTCAATGATACGCTATTACCGCGGCTGATAGCTAGTTATCAGAATTGATTGATGTCACTTGTCTCATTGGCTACCGAAATAAGACAAAAATAGACTTTCTAGCAGGAGCCTTGACAGGTCCTAGAGTCTAGACACGAACTTTCCCGCCCGGAATTCCGATATACGCTACTGGAAAAGGAACCAGAAGAGCCTAATGTCGTCCGTTTCTTGCCATCTCACTCTATCTGGTTCGAGGTCCGAGAAAGGAGTCCACCGATCCTGTTCTGTCTCATTCGCCCATCGCCAGCTGAACTCCTTCTCCGAGTATTTTTCCGGAGATTCCTTTCGTTACATGTTTTTGCGCTTCGTCGCTCCGGTCCAAGAAGGCTATTTCCTCTGCCGAGAGCCAAGTTTTCCACCTCCCGCGAGAGATCGGCGCGACGGCTGACAGCTGGGGACCGATTTTCTGGCTCGACAGAATGCGAATTGTTCAATGGTCTGCAGTGTGTGTTTGTTCAATGGTCTGTCGACAATTTGATTTCGTGGACAATATGCTCTGATGTTTGCCGAGTGATAGACGTCATTCCGAATCTCAGTCGATTTTATGTAAGCTTTGCTTGGTTTCAGCCTCTAGTTAGTTATAAGAATGCAAAGTATTTCTTTTTACATGTAAATAACTACAAAATAAGGGAAAGGTAGGTAAACGTATCGTTCCTTTATTTTACCCAATGTCGTAAGTTACATTATCCTAAGCGAGTATATCGTGCACCGTTCGTCGGTCCTCTTCCGTGCTGCTGCTGCCACTTGTTTGTCTTCGCCTGCCACCTCTATTTCCGTTGTCTGTGTTGTCTATCGCCGCCGGTACACCAACAGGCTGCCGCCCCCGCCCCCGCCCCCGCCCCCGCCCCCGCCCCCGCCCCCGCCCGGCCCGGGCGGTAGGGGGCGGGTGGCGGGCGCTATTGATTGCCTGCTGCTCGGACCGCTGCCTGCCGGCTGACCGGTCAATGGACCACCCTTTGGCGACCGGCGGTGTGCGACCAAGCGGCGAGTCCTGGTCAAACACTACTGACGGCGACCGCCCCGCCCCCGACGTCCATAAACAACCACTTGGCTGCCCATCCAACTAAGCGCCATCAACACCGCACACAACGCCAACGCAGCCCCATCGCTGCCGCCGGCTCTGTCTTCGTCGTTGTGCGCTGACCGTCGTCGATTACACAGACGAGAATTAACGGTCTTAGAGTGATTCAATGCGTGGTCTAACTATGGGGTCACGATGTGGATCGTAATGTGCGTGTGTGCTCGGCGGAGCAGGACGCACCGCACACTTATCCAGCACGTGACCTATGTGACTGCGTGGTGCTATTGTATGTAGACGGCCATCGGACGGTGAGGCACGTCCCGTCAGGTCTGGCCTAGCGGGTCAAGTCTGGCGTCGAGGCGGAAGACTGAAACCATGGTGTCTCACTGTATTTAGCAACGACACGTGCTTCCCAGTCGATAACATTTCACGAGCAGACGGAGAGCCGAAAGCGACGGGCGGCCAGCCGCGGGGTACCTCAGCGATAGCCCTCCGGCGGCTATCGCAGCTCCGCGCACTGCCACGGGCGATCGGGGCCATTGTTTTGCTGTACCGCCCCTCTGGCCATTCAGCTATTATCGACTGAGAGAGCGGCGTCACGAAATGTTCCTATTGCTGTTCCCCTGCGCTGGCGTAATTAAATACAGCTCCTCCCCTCGTCCGTGGGGTCGGGACCGACCGTCTCTGTGTGTTGGCACAGACGGCAATGGGATCAGGTGCAGTCAGACGGAACGGGCCGATATTGCCAACTCCCCATATTGGGTTTTCTGTAGTGGGGTGGGGTCGCCCTTCAATGACCCTGTCCCCAGGGAGAGCATTTTATTGATGGGCTGATGGGCTTGGGACTTGGGAGGGTCGATGCTTTTGGATGAGAAACACGGGATGTTCCCCTTGCATTGACTCGGTACGCATCGGTCATATTTTGGCGACTTGGTAGAACGCGGACAACAAAGCAGTTGCCCCTTTGCAGTTGACTTTCCTAGCACGCCTCAATAATCAAGACTGCATAGGCAATTCCATTACGGATTTGCATTAGTAAGCCCGAAACCAGGACAGCCAGCGACCTCCACAGCCGTCACCGACTCTGTTTTTAGAGCGTTCCGTCCTGCGGTTACCTCCTTTCTCGCCGAACCATGATGGAGCAGGTCTCTTATCACCGCCAGTGTCGAGAGACGCGCCGAGCAGGGAATCTTCTCACCGCGCGGGTCGCCTGAGAAAACACACTGAGTCGCTCCGTCACCGTTCTGGTGACACTCCGGACCTCATCAGAGCCGCTGCAGGCCCTGCTGGAGTCGATCGTCCCAGAAATACGCGGCGCTGTGCGTTACAGATCCTCCCCTCGCTGGGCTGGCGTCCTCTCCCAGTGTGCCGTAGAGCGCTGCAGCCAGACGGAGTGAGAAGGATTGGCGGTGAAATGGAGCAGTCTGTCGTCGAGTCGCTGGCTGCCGAGCACTACTTCAGCTTCGACCGTTGATATCACCTGGCAGTGCAGCCAGCTGTCGGCAGCTGCCTGCCGGCTGCCTGGGTGGCATCGACGACCTCTGACGGATGGCTCTCTGAGTGGATAGGATGGGTGGCTAATGAACGATGGGTGATGCCAATGAACAGAGGTCGTTGACTCCCGACTGTCTTTCTGACGCATGCTAACCGCTGACGGCTAATGTCTGTCATCCTCTGAGTGCTGATACCTGTCAGCCGCTGGGGGCTGATGTCCGTCAGCGTAGCGGTCCTCTGACTGCTGATGTCCGTCGCTCGCTGACCGCTGATGCCTGTCAGCCTAGTGGTCCTCTGTGGCTGGCTGCGTGCCGTCGCGGCTGGGGCCCCGCTGGCGTCCCGCCGGCCACTGACAGCTCCGCCTCACCTCATCCCGGTACTGTCCGTCCACTGTCTGTCAGCCCCGTGCTTTTCGTGTACAGCTCCATTTGTGGCGGCCAGCGCACAATGAACCCGCCTCAGGTCTGTCTCAGGCGCGCCGTGAACGGACTACTGACATCTCATAGTGACATTTCATACTGACATCTCATAGTGACATCTCATAGTGAACTGACATCTCCACGGCATCGCTGGCAGCGATGCCGTGGAGCGCACGTGGAGAACGCGCAGACCAGGCGGTCTGCGACACGTGCTATCCCGTGCCACCCGTGCCGTGACAGGGCGACAGTCGCCGAACCGCCGACAGCGCACCACAGGAGACAGCCACAGCGGGGGGCCGGCCAGCAGACGCGCACGTGCCCGGGGCTGCGGGATGTTTTGCAATTCCTTGGCTGAAACTGTCACAGCCATTATA